TGCATGCAGAAAAGCGTTGATGGAGAGGTTCACTCTGACTAGACCTGACTTCATGACCAGAGTGGCGACAATCTCAGACTTGCAAGTGCGCACGAAGGTCATGATCTGACCGGATAACCCTCTTCGATTCTATTCGATGGTATGGTCATCCTGATTGCAGGGAAGGTCGCTTCCGCCAACGACTACTTCCGCATCCACATCCAACCGAAGTCTTTGTGCATCCTTGACTCGCAGGGACTCCAATTCACAATAACATTCGCGCAACCAACACGAACCCGAGCTACGTTCTCCTCCATGTCCGGAGACGTTGCGCTGACTAGCCCCAGCCACCGACTGCTCGGCAGGCCCACCATTCATCTCTACTTCCTCGGAGTAATTTGCCATAGAGCAAGACCCTTCTCCTCGACACAGATGGCCTCCTTGGCCTAAGGAGAGGAGAGGAAACTCCGCATCACACTACCGGAATAAACCATCACAAAACAACACTTCAATCCGGGCACCGAGTGAACATTGCCAAACTGTGAACGGATTGAGGCTGTATAGACTCTGAATAGATTGAGGGCAGGCAAACCGTGAATCAATCTATTGAGCCAACTTTTGCAGTGAACTGTCCTGGCTTCGACGTTTACTCTGGGGTAAGGTCACCTCCGATACCCACGCAACCATAGACCTTCCCTAGTTCGGGCAAATTTTCCTTTGGGATCGATGTCTCCGTCACTTCGGATTCCTTGTGCATCATCATGAAGAAATGTGACTCATTGGAATCGGACCAACCAGGTCCGCTGGGGGCTCGCATCGGAATACATGAGCTTCCTTTTATGCCAATCTTTCGATTCGATTCCTTGCGACCAAAGCGCTACACAATCAGCATAGCTAAGATGGTGCCGCGAAAGTGCCTGGTGGGGTTTTAAATAGTTTTGTCAATGCAATAGACAATATGTTGTGCCATACGCGACTTTGGTTAGTTTGAGCGCGGAATCCCCGTTCTTTTCTTAGCTGTTCTTTTTGTTTGAGTATGTGACTGTTTCATGCGAGCTTTGAAGTCCTGTCTGTTTCTATTTCGAGCCATCGCGTCGGTATTGTTGGCGGCTGCTACCGGTATGGATCAGGAAGTCGGTACTGTTGTGGGGCATGGGGGTGGACCTGGTTTGGGGCCTGGTGTTGGCGGCTGCTACCGATATGGATCAGGAAGTCGGTACTGTTGTGGGGCATGGGGGTGGACCTGGTTTGGGACCTGGTGTTGGCGGCTGCTACCGATATGGATCAGAAAGTCGGTACTGTTGTGGGGCATGGGGGTGGACCTGGTTTGGGGCCTGGAGATGGACCTTCGTGGAGCAAGTTGGTCGAGGGGTAGGTCCGGGATGGTTAGTCCAGCATTCTAGGTACATGTACCGGTACGAGTAGCGAAGGAGGTAATCAGATGGATCTTACCGATGCCGTAGCTTTAGGCGTGCCCATTGCGCGTTCCTCTTGCGGAGAAAGGGCCTTACCGTCGACGAGATCATCTGTCACGGCTACGGCTGGATGCTAAAGCTCGTTAACAAGAGACAAAATTTCGATGTGGCCAAATTCCGCGGGTGAAAAGTGATGCAATGTTTTTGACCACGACTGATGGGCGCACGGGAGTTAAATTTGGACCACAGCCACTTCCCATCGTTAGGCAAGTTTCTGCAGCTCTCTTCTCCAAGTTTGCCCTGCAAAAGGGAGCTGAACTGCGCTATTACAACAAGTGGCGAGATTGAAGCCGTTAGCTTGGGAAGCACCAAGAAGCAACAGTGGATGACGAGATAGTACATGTAGATAGTACGAAGCTGGCAGTTTCAAAAATGGACGATCCTCCACCGCCACCACCTCCTCCACCTCCATCACGTCCTCCTCCGCCTCCTGGAACTCCCGAGCCAGACATTGTGGTCGAACCAGAACCAGATATCGTGGTTGAACCAGAACCGGATATTGGCATCCAACCGAGGGCCGACCCTCCTGCATCGCGGCGAAAGAAGAGAACGTCGGAACAGAGCGGCACGATAATGACACGCGACAATAATAACAAAGAACAGAAAGAGGCTAGTGAAGAACACGATGATCAGCGAGATGTCAAGAAAAAGCCAAAGCCAAAACGGCCGGAACGTTCCAGCGACAGGGAAAGGGGACACGGAAAAGTTAAAGCTAAGAAGACGTCCAAAAAGCCAGGTATGTGTATCTTCGTCGTCCAGTGTTGAAGCGGCATGCATTGGGTAACACGCGTGTCCCACTCCATTTTCTAGTAGCAGAAATGAGCTTGGAAGAGGAGGAAGAGTTTCCAGACGGATTCCCCGTTGACATTGCAGTACCAGATGATTGGTCAGGGTTGTCATCCCTTCCAAGTTTGCATCGCAGAGTCCTGCCACCAACAAGAATACGGATTGTTAAACCTCCAGATCCACCCCAAGAAGAAGAGCAGAAAGAGCAGCGGAAAAAGCCAAAATCAACCAAACGACAATCCAGAAGTCCACCAAAGCCTCGACCAAAGTCACCAAAAGTATACGATGACGAAGAAACTGGGAGTCTGACACTATTGGAGGACCAAATGAAGAAGATAACCCGACACGTGCGCAAAATGGAGAACAAGTTGTCGGCACAAAGCAAGAAACTGAAAAAAGTAGAAACAGAATACGAGGAAGAATTGGGAAAGATGGACGATTTGAATCGGCAACTGGAAGAGACAGAAAGACAACTTCAATCAAAGCGCAGGCGAGAATCCCTGCTGGAAGAGTCAGACGGTGAACATGAAGAAGAGATGGAAAGACGGAGAAGACGAAAAGAGAGAAAGAAGAAGAAAAAGCGAAAGGAGAAGGCGAGACGAGAGAAGGAATACGACAACGACCGTAGACATCGAAAGAAACATGCGCATCGAAAGAAGAAGAAATCTGCGAAGCGCAGAACACAGATTGACTACGAGGCAATGGGCTACAGAGACTATGACGACTATCGGGAAAACTCGAAGCACCGAAAACGGAGCAAGCAACCCAAGCGACGATCCTTCAGCGGAACAGAAACGCCTTACGTCAAACCTGCCAATCCTACTGGGAGGGATACTCCAATGTCATGGCCAGCTACTCATACACAGTACGAGTCGGGGCGAGCGACTCCTGATTGGTTGCAGGAAGCTAGAGCAAGTCAATCCGCCAAGGCCAATCAACCACGGCCTTCATACGAAACACAACCAACTGTAGGCAGGCCTTCTAATCCTCCTCCTGGATATCGGCGAAAGCCTAGATCTGAGAAGTTCAAGTACCAACCTCCCCCGCCAATCGAAGAAGATGAGAATTCCCTGCGCCTTTGCACAGCTGGTAGTCTGGCAAGAATGTTTTTACTTCCGCTACTTCTAGTTTTCATGCTTGTCGTTCTTCTGATCGTGTTCCTTGTCATTCTCCCTGCCAGCAAGAACAACAAGTCCAATTCTCAGCCTGAATCAACGAATGCTCCAACCAACCGTGGAGCTCCATTGCCACCGCCGCCGCCACAACCTACAAATGGAGTGGGACGAATGGCAGCGCCTTCGTCGTTGGAGGATCTTTTGCCGTGGGGCACCAAAGTTGTGCTACATAACTTGTCGACGCCACAAGGCATGGCTTACGAGTGGCTTAAAAATGATCCAGGTTTCGCTGGATATACAATCAATCGACTAAAGCAGAGATTTGCTCTGGCGTGCCTCTACTACGGACTCGGTGGGCTTGACTGGACAGAGTCTGATGGATGGCTGTTGTACGATGTCTCCGAATGCCAGTGGTTCACAGGCCATTCCAGTGATATAGCTTGTTCGGATGGGATCACCTACGAATACTTGGTGCTTCCTCAGAACAACCTCTGGGGCTCGATCGTTCCCGAGATAGGCTTGCTTGGCAACCTAAAGGTTATTGATCTCAGCGAAAACTCCATCGTCGGAAGTCTGCCTCCTCAAATTGGTGATGTCAGCTCATTGGAACGTCTTGAGATGTATCAGACTGATCTATCGGGCGTTGTCCCTAGCGAAGTCGGGCTCTTGACTCACTTGGAGGTGCTTCACCTGTGGGAAACATTCCTCAGCGGACCTCTGCCTGCCGCGTTAGGACAGTTGTCATCGCTGAAAGAGCTGATGATGCATATGAATAGACTTGAAGAAACCATCCCGACAGAACTGGGACAGCTTCAGTCTCTGGAAAAGCTTTGGATTGACCGAAACTCTCTCAAAGGCGCCATCCCAAGCCAGTTGGGTTCTCTCACGAACATGTCCGAGCTCATGGCATTTGGAAACTCTCTTTCGGGTCGCATACCTTCCCACTTGAGCTCCGCTGTAACGTTGGAGCGCGTTGAATTGGCTGAGAACTTGCTGACTGGAACTGTTCCAGCAGGCCTTTGTTCATTGTTTGATGGTCCCAATTTGCAAACCATTTCCATTGACTGCTCACAGGTATCCTGCGACTGCGGATGCACCTGTGGATGACGTGCTGTCCTGGGCTAGGGAAGCAGAGAATGGCTCGAGAAAGAAAGAAACAAGAAGTTTTTAGAGGTCCTAGGGCATGGATTCCTTTTCTGGGTTTATCGTCATCTTTTGAACCACCAGTTTGGTACTAGTTCAAAATCTCCACTCTAGCTTCAAGTGGAACTGATGAGAGTCAGTCAGAAGTTCGGCTACCAGAGGGAAACGATCTGGAGATTGCTGGTTTGTTCCACAGCAACTCGTACTGAGTTGGGCTATGTTCATAACAAAAGGCCGGGCTTCACGAAATGAGTCGAGTCGAGATAAATTCGTACAAGTATCTAAAAGGCCGTGATTCGCTTCAGGTTACTTACATGTCATGAACACCGAACCAAACACGCCGCGACGTAAGCCACCTAAAACTAAAAACAGTTCCGTTCCTAAACTTTCGCAAAATAGTTCCTCTACATGTTAGTGTGCTGTGTGTATGCTTGATTGATTGACTGTATGATATGCTTTCAAGATTATTCTATAAACAGTGTAGCAGTATCCGTTTGGTCTGACATGACTTGTAAGGCATTCATGGTGCTGGCGTGTCTTCACCGTAACTCCATTTAGCTTGTTTGGGTACCGGTATGGCCTTTATATTGGTGTGCGCTTGCTCTTGTTGTGGGTGGGTGTGCAAAATTGTCCTTATTGACTCTTGGCTTGTAGTTCTTTACACATGAGTTATATACTTCGTTCGTCGGTTCGTCTGGTCGGCTTGATGTTTGGGAGGGGATATGTACAAGTGGCGTTCTTGATGACGAAACAAAAAGAAAAAGGGGAAGGAGGAAAGGATGTTACTTCTTTCGCTCCACAATTACGACAGTGCCTCGGTTTCCGCGAGTAATTCGCAGGTCTTCATCGAGGTACATGACATCCAGGTATCCATGCGGACACCGTTTCATTTCAAAGCTGACACTGCAGCTCTCACTGGCGAGGGCTTGCTCGTCTGTAGGGGTCGAGAGTTGGAACATCCACTTGAATAGATATTGCATAAACGACGATATGTAGGATCGCTCGGCTTCAGCTTTTTCGTAGGCTCCACCAAAGACTTCTTTCCACTGGTCTAGCTGGATGGGATCAGATCTGACCTTTTCTCCTGGCATTAAAGTTCCTCCCACAAAGGTGACACCGAGTCGATTCTTGGGTTGCTTGTCGGAAGAGCAAAGAGCCTCCATGCGTAGACAAGCTGGGAAATCTCCCTTCTCCGTGTGTATGATGATGTTAGTCGAAAGGGGATAGGTATACGTTCGAGATTCACCGTCGCTGCTGTCGTTGTTCTGGTTCTCCTTGTCTGATTCTTCTTGTTTGGCAGGCGCCAGTATCAGGTCGTTTTGAGTACTGTTTACAGTACACACTAGCTTGCCAGGTTGAAAGATGTTGAAGGACATTCGGCCAAGTGTGTACTGATCGAGGTGTTCCTTGCCTGGCTCTTGCTTCAGGCGTCCGGGGAACTCGGGACGTGTGAGTGAGACAAAGGATCCCTCTAGGAAAGGAGACATGGCTGCATCTTTGGTGGGGTTCAGAGCCGACAGCTCTTCTATGGCTTTTTCTACTTCAGGGTGCTTCGCCGACCGATCATGCTTGGCCAGCAACGCCTTTAGGTTGGCCTTGGCCGTTGCTAGAGCTGTTTGTTGCTCGTCGTCTGATAAAGACGCAGTTGAATCAGTCATATCGCCAGTGCTTCGCACAGAGCCCGTATTCATTGTGTTTAGGTCTTCTTTAAGAGGAGGAACGTTGCTTACCGACATTTTCACTTCCGTGTTTTCGCAAAGGGCTGGGTCTTCGTTTTCGTGAGAAAGTTGTGTCTGCACTAGCACCATGGTGAAGTCAATTACAAGTCGAGAGGAGTCTACTGACAGTCTATGGGTCAGAGTTTTAATAGTGGCGATCAGAAAAGCAGTGGCTGATGTTGTGGCTGTCTCGTGCGTCTCAGCATGCTAGTAGGGATGCCGAGTGTGTCCTTGAACCGTCCTGCAGGGTCTCTGATGAAGTTAGTAGTGAAAGAGGGTGCTGGAGGCATAATCCACCTGTTTTTAGTTGCCCAGCAACACAGCCAACAATCAGCAGCAGAAACTAGATGCCCGACAGGTTGCCACCAAAGCCGTAACGTAGTGTTGCTTTGGTTGTTGCTGCTTTCACTCTGCGTTGGTCGACCGAGGGCAACGTGGTTGCAGCTCAGCGGCACCACGTCAATTTTGCTTGTGTAGCTTTGTACTCCAATTTTTTTCGCTCTGGCCGTCCGGCCGTCCCACCGTCAATACGATCTGACGTGGCTAGTCAAAAACTTGCTGTTCCTTAAGTGGCGCCTCCACGCAATCCACTCCCGGTGTCTTAGTGCTTTTAAGGAAACGGAAAAAGTTGCAGCTTGAGAGAAGATTCCTGTCGAGCTTGTGTCGAGCCCCTTAAATAAAATTAGCCGCGTCACTCCACAGAAGAAGACAGCTTGGGCCATTGAAGGTGTCCTCCGGTATCCTTTCCGTGTCACCGTTCCATCTTCCATCTTCGTTCATTCTGAGTCAGCTTTAACCCGGTAGAGATGCTAGAAACATTTTGTGATCGGCTTTGAGCTATACCGGTAGCAATCAAAGCAAAGGGTGAAAGCTACCTGGTAAGCACCACCTCACTCATCACAGTTGGCTGGTGCTGCATCTTTCATCCTGCCTGCCTGCAGCTGGTCTTTTAATAAAATGCATGCAGCCCTTTGGTTGCAACTGCCCCCAAGGCCAGCGATCCTAGAGAGAGATGCATAGAGCCGCAAAGCATTTTTTATGGGAAGCTTCATTTTGGATTGGATCCAGGCTAGGTACACTTGTGGTGTACATGTATGTAGTAAAAATGTAAAAATCTCTCGGCGCAGCTGCCCCCCAAGCCCAGCCCGAAGTTGATTAATCATTCGATTCCAGTCTTTTGCTGTGAACTGCAGATCCTTTTTTGTTTAGCACAAATACTTGAGTCAAGTCTGAGGGAAACTAGCTAGCTACCGGTACCAGTACCTGGCTTACTCAGTGGTATTATCCCTGCTGATGAGTCGCCCACAGCGTCCAGTTGCTACATGTAGGATTTGATGTGATGGTACCGGTATGTTGTGGCCTGGCCAGCTGGCCTCCTGGGTCAAAAGAGGAACAGAGGAGCTAACGGAGGTCGAGGGTGGACGGTCCACATGGAAATTTCGGGGTAGGGCTGGGGATTCCCACTGAAATTCGTTGGGCTTCCAAGGAGGAGGCCCATCCCTTCCGATCCAAGTCGCACCGATATAAACTTGCGCACTAGTCTTCTGTTCAAATTCGTTAGAATGACGAAACACTTTCTGAGCACAGATGCTCGATCTGGTACCGGTCAGTGATATTTTTTCACACTCAAAACCCCTCCAGGACATCTTCATATCTTTACTGTTGGCAAGAATCTCCCTCTTCCCACCAAAAGCTTGCAAAATGTATCTTCTAATGAGATAAGAGAGAGAAATATGACAAAATTTCCCTGTAGCAGATGGTGGAGGTAAGGAGCACTGATGAAAAATGCGTCAGAGGAACACCAGTTCTGGAATTCGCATTATCGAACAGCTATCGAACTACCAGAGACAGGCGAGCTAACGTGAAGCAGAACTATTAATTAACACTCCTTCGAAAGCTCCTTGGAAAGGATCCTGTGATTGTTAAGCACCTGGAGAGATATGGAAACATACGCACAAACAGCTGTCATTTGGGAACATCTCTGAACCGTTTGGTTGTTACGGGAAAATCCATGACTACTTCCAATGTTGCTTTCCTTTCGCTGAAGTTGTCTATGATTATTTCGTCTACGATACTCCCGCAATAAAATATCGTGTTGTCGTTGTTTGTATAATGAAGGAGTTGTGCGGAACTGACACACGAAAACTACCGTCACAGTTTGATCCCTTGAGACGCCCGTCCTTACGCCTCTGGGCCAGCTGCGCACTGGGTACTAGTACCAGGTACAGTGTAGCTCGACATTCAGTGTCGACCTCGATCAACCACACTAATTGAGGGAGCCGTACTATTGTTGCGGATGCCATATTGTTGTTGCTTTGCACAGCTTTGAACGAGGGCGGAGTGGCCCATTGCAGGTCGAAACATCAGAGTTGCGGAGATTGTTGTATTGTATTGGAAAGATGCAAGCTGAACCTCAGCTCGCCAGCGTGTCACCCTCACCGTCCCAAGACGAAGTTGGGGGTGGATGCCTAAAGGGGCTCGTAGATGACGACACTTTGATGGCATCTAGCCATGAAAACGATTCAGATGACAGCAACAGTCTAAGTGGAAACGAGGCAGAGGGCGGTAACCGTAGGAAGAACGAGGGATTTCGGTTTCGAGTGAGAGGCATCAAGCGGTTGATGAAAACCTTGATGAAGCGTCATGGTGGATCAACTAGACACCCTCGTGTCAATAAGATGATACAAAAGCTAGAGAAGATGAATCCTACCCATCAGCCGGCTAAGTCTAACTTGCTTATTGGTGACTTCATAGCTCACTCATCACCAGACTTTCCAGGGCGTATCCGCCCTCGTCGTTCTTCCAAACGGGGCAACGACCAAGGCGGAGACGATGATCAAGTGGTTCAATACGCTTTGGGGCGTCTCTCTTTTGGAATCTTCGAGCCACATAACTTGGTTTGCACCGTTCGGGCGGTCCGCAACTCCATTCAAGTCTGCGACGATGAAGAACTATTGCGTAAGGAGATCTATGGCTCTGACGGGTCTGACGAGGAGATACGGAGCTTCTTCTATCCCATCATAATTGATCTTACCATCCACACGCCACAAGGTATTGACCTTCATGCTGAAATGAGACACGATGCTCTATGTCATGAGATTCCAGGCAACGACAAGCGCTTGGGTGTCACTTTCCTAGGTGGAAGTCTCAGGCCGGTTCACTCTGTGTTGGACAATCCCGAGCTTATGGCCGTTTGGAAGGAAACATTCGCCAATGCATACAAGAAAGCCGACGAAGAACGATCATACGTGAGTAGTATACTGCGGTTTATGGTCAAGTGGTGGCTGCAGCTGTCATTGCCATCAGATGAAGACGCTGAAAAGAATGCAATGCACTGCGTTCGGTACGAAATGAAGCGGCGACCCAAAGGCCATTTAGATGTACTCTATCTGGACGAAGAGTTGAGGGTTACCCGAGGAAATCGAGGGACACTTATTGTTGTCGAAAGGTTGCCCTACAACCACGATGTTGAAGGCCCCCCTCCAAACTCGTCCCTGTCCAACTCGCCACCGTTCCTCCATACGGAGTAGCGTAGATTGACCTCTGAAAGGTTGCTTGCTTGGTGCATGGCTTCACTTGCTTGTGAGGAGAGTGACGATGGTCTGGTCTCAGCATTCCGAGATCCACAGTTGCTCGCTCCCAACCTTGGAGCCCAGGAATAAATGACCACTGCGCACTCTTGCCCGTGTCATTCGATACGTACCTCTGGGCGCGAATCTTTCGACGATGAACCTAGCTAGACAACTTAATTTTGCTTTTCATAGCATACATACGATACATAACGCTAATACTTTATACGATGCCGAACCCCCAACAGTGACCTGCATCCTTACCGTGCATGTACGTAGGTGCTTCTAGACGAAGGGACGCATCACCAGCCTTCCATACCTGTGCTACCGGTACCTTAGTGGGATGCCCAAAGTAGACTACTGGCTTGCTAGAGATTCAAAAGCCCAGGCTCAAATACTGGTACCAACCAGAGCACCTTCAAAACAATTCCTTCGGTCTTCAACTGCTTAATAAAGATGATGGTGCAGTCCGGCTATCGACAGGTAGTTCGTGAACACACGCATTGCTAATAGTTAGGAATCGAATCATCATTTGTGTATGATACTTTTTTCATTCATTTCTTGCTGGTAAACCGATCAAAAAGCAAGCAAAAACAATCTAAACCTTCCTCGTTTCTCTACTTTCCTTCCATCATTAGTTCCAAGTCATCAATGGGTTCTCCAGTGGCCATCAAGTTGTACTCATCCTGCAATATCTTGATAACATTGGGTGTCAAGTAAGCTGGAAGGGTAGGTCCAAGTCGAATATTCTTGACGCCCAAGTGCAACAGGGTCAACAAGACAGCAGCGGCCTTTTGTTCCAAATGAGACACCGCCAAACTGAGGGGCAGATCATTGATGCTGCAATCCAATGCCTTGGCCAGTTCGGTTGCCACCACCACGGCACTGAATGCATCATTGCACTGTCCCATGTCCAAGACTCGGGGCAACCCATTGGCTAGTTTGGCATTCAACAAGTCTTCATCATGAATGATGCGGTTCTTGGCACAGCCCAATGTCAAAATGAGCGAATCAGGAGGGGTTTCCTGTGCCAACTCGGTAAAGTAAGATCGATCCCACTGTGATCCATCGCAACCTCCAATGAGGAAGATGCGACTGAGGGCTCCGCTCTTGGCGGCGTCCAAGACCTGTTCGGCCAATGGGAGGACTGCTCTGTGATTGAATCCTACAGTATGATGCTTGGCTGGTTCAATGGTCCTTGGGAATCCCTTGAGAGATTTGGCCTGAGCAATGACGGGGGAAAAGTCCCTGTCGGGTCCAATGTGCTGTACACCATCGACACCGACCTCGTTCATGGTGTAGACTCGCTTCTTGTACATTTTTCGTGGCTCCAACACACAGTTGGTGGTCACAATGATAGGTCCTGGGAATCCTGCAAACTCAAACTTTTGGTTCTGCCAGGCTGTTCCGTAATTTCCAACAAGGTGCTTGTACTTTTTGAGCTCGGGGTAGGCATGGGCCGGCAGCATTTCACCTATTTTTCAAAACAAGACAAATTCCATTTGTGTTAGGTTTTGGAACATTTGGCACATTTTCTCCTTTCCAGTTTTCCATTTGATGCGACGCAACGTGAAGTGACTTACCGTGAGTGTAGACATTGATGCCGGTTCCTTCGGTTTGTTCCAAGAGAGCCTGCAAATCGACCAAATCATGTCCCGAAATGAGAATGCACTTGCCTTGTACGGCAGTAGTGCATACTTGAGTGGGTTCTGGATCTCCAAACTGAGTGGCATGAGCCTCATCGAGCAATGCGAGGACTCGTGTATTTATTTCTCCAACCTTGAGACAGGCAGCCAGAAGTCCTTCCATGTCTGGTTCACTGCTGTTCAACTGAGCATTAATTTTGTGAATATCCATCATGATGTCATCCTTCAAGTATCCCAATTGGTAGCAATGGGCGGCATATGCACAAGCTCCCTTGAGCCCATAGGTTGCCAGTTCATTGAGGCAAAAAGCATCATCATTCCCCATTTCCTTTTGTCTTGTGGGGATGGAGAATTTTTCGAGTCCTTTTTCTTCCAACTCTTCGACGGCCAATCCATCCAACTCTTGATGAACAGTGGAAGGAGCACTGTCTAGCTTGGCTTCCAAATCCTTGGCGACCGCCACGCCCTGTTCAATAAATTCGGCAATGCGATCATCACTAAAATTGACATTTGTCAATGTGGAAAACGTGGCTTGAAGAGTCCATACATGAACCGGTTTCAAATCGATCCCTCCTTTTTCATTTGCCGCCACGGCCAATTCTCCCACGGACCGGATCAACTGCATGAGCGTATCCTGAATACATGCCGTTTCACTGCTCTTTCCACAGATTCCCACCGTGGTACAGGCGAAATGATTGCTGGTTTGTTCACATTGACGACAGAACATGTCGGGTTTGGAGACAATCTCATGGACACAAGTGGTGTGTTCTCGAAGGAAATCCAACCAGGGAGTTTTGTTGCTGGCAGGGGCCGTCGAAAAAGGACGAGAATTATTACAATTATTCGTCGTTGGAAGGGAGGTTGCCGTCAAGGAGGGCATAAGGGCACGCCTCAGAACCGTCGAACGCATGGTACGCATCGCATGGTGGGTCAACATGGTGTTCCTTTTTCTTGTTGTTGTGGTGTTAGTTTTCTGCGCTTGTAGTGTTTCTTTGGAAAATGCAAGGTTTGGTTTGTGGTTTGTGATTTGTGATTTGATAAATTTGTGATGGGTCTCTCTTTAGCGGAGGCACTTTGATGAGGATGCGAAGCCTGGGTTCCCATCGAATAAGAAGGCGTATCTTTTGGAAAGATTTTTCCAGTGGGTTCCCCGAGTTCGGTTTTGTCAAGCGTTGAATGCTTCCCGTTTCCCCAAAGGATCTTGCTTGATTGTTGCTTGGCACATTGGCACCACTTGAAAATCATTGAGTGCAAAGGATCTCGGCAGGGTAATAGTTGCGTTTCAATAATAATTACAGAACAACACACCATGATGATGTATCTACGAGGAGGAATCCGACCAGCAGCAGCCAGAATGCTCCTCCACAGGAGACCGCTGTCTTTTCTCTGTTCGAGAGCTGCTTCTCCTTTGGCCACAAGCTCCTCGAGTTTTTCTCTTTCCACAAGACCAACGACTGCATCTTCGGCATGTACCGGTACCATCCGCAGCAGCAGCAGGATCCGCCAATTGGCGCTTCAGATTGTGGTGGGACAACGACAGCGTCGATTATTTTCTACCATCAGCAATAATAGCAGTGGTTCTGTAAAAGAATTACCCGTCAAAATCTTGTACGGCACGCAAGGTGGGACGGCACAACTCTTTGCCATGCAATTGGCCGAAGCCTTGGAGGAGGTGGCACCAGACATTGAAGTCACCATTGAAGGACTACACGAAAATTCACCCGATAGTGTACTACAACCTGGTCAAGCGCTTCATGTGCTCTTGTCCTCGACGGCGGGAGTGGGAGAGCCACCCGATAATGCCCGAGATTTTTGGAAGTGGTTGTCATCACAGGAGAGTGACAACCTCAAAGGAGTCGATTTTTGTGTCTTTGGATTGGGGAATCAAAAGGCACATCCCAATCATTACAATGTCATTGGAAAAGGATTGGATAAAAAACTACACAAACTAGGTGCCAACCGAGTCTTTGCACTAGGACTTGGGGACGACGGAGACTGCCTAGAAGATGATTATGATACCTGGATGGAATCCTTTCTACAGGCTGTCTATAAAGGAGGAGGAGACAGTGAGGAAAAGGTAAAAGGTGACGCATCAGCAAACGAAACAACGGCAACTCAACCACCAGCACCTGCCAGTTCGGTGGTTGTGGAGGATCCTACCGTTACAATGCAAGCTTGCACGGGTGCCAAAGAAGGAAATGGAGGAAAACGACTCATCTCGGCCAAGCATGGACGTTTGCGTCTAGCGCCGTCGGGAACCGATGTCAGTAGGGATGACTTATTGCACCTTGATGCACCCTTTTATATTCCAAACACAACACGCATGCCCGTTGTCAGCAATCGACCGCTCAATCCAAATGCCGGAGAAAATGGATTGTATGAGATGAGAGTGTCGCTGGAGAGAGACTGGGGTAACACGTTCCAGTACGAAACGGGAGACCATCTCATGGTGTACCCTCAGAACAGCCAAGCCATGATTGAAGGCGTCCTGGAACGGTTGGATGTGGATCCACATGTCGTGATCCAAGCTCCCGAAAACGAGGACCCCAAAAAGCCATATCCCCATCCTACCGGCATCACCTTGACAGAAACACTGCGTCATTGTGTCGACCTTTGTGCCCTGCCATCGCCCAATGTAGCACGGCTCCTGTTGGGACGGTCACAGATTGATTACAAACACGAGATTGCAATGCCGCGAAGGAACATACTCGACTTGATGGCAGACGAATCGGCACCTCGCAAGTTTGCTCTGGAGGAAATCTTGTACAATATGGTGCCCATGAAGCCGCGCTACTACTCGATTGCGTCCTCATCATTGGTGCATCCAGAACAAGTATATCTGGTCTACCGACCGGTACAGTTCACAAACAACCGGGGACAACTACGAATGGGCGTTTGCACCTCGTTTTTGAAAAATATGATGGGGAAGCACGATGCCATTCTCGATGATGAATATAATCTCGGTGGTGCCGTGACACCGCCTTCGTCGCATTTGGTGGCTGCTGTCAATTCCAATCCATCCTTTCGATTGCCTTCGGAGCGACAGACACCGGTTCTCTTTGTTGCTGGAGGATGCGGCGTGGCTCCCATTCGAGCCTTTCTAGAAGAGAGAATCCATCTCGCTAGTGAAAATAATCACAGACCCTTCGGAGAGGGATACCTGTTCCTGGGCTTTCGGTCTCCCGGAGACGCCCCATACAAGTCCATGGTTCAGCTGGCCTTTCAAATTGGTGCCATTTCCAATGTTCACATTACATACAACAGTGGTTGCGGAGAAGGCTTGAATGCTCAGTTGTTGGGAAACAGCGACGTTCGAGCTCACACCAGCTGTGGACTGGTTTCTGACGCGATTGGTGAACACAGTGAACAGTTGTATTCCTTCTTTGAGAGGGGAGGGCATACCTTTATTTGTGGCGGGGCACGACTTTTTGGAGTGGCCATTGAGAATCAGGTGCATCAGCTTTTACAGAATCATGGTGATCTGAGCGAAAGCGCCGCAACCGAGTATCTGCAAGGAATGCTGGCCGATGGGAGGTAAGTTCGTTGATTATTCTAGCTAGACTTGACCTTTTTGCTGGACTCACATGTGCACGCACCAACGTTGCTTGTTTTTCAGATTCAACGAGGACTTGTCAGATTGAGACAAGATTCGAGATGCTTGCCAGCTGCATGACTGGCTTCTGCATCAAACTGCATGACGGTGTAGTGTAATGCTAACCCTGGGCTGAAGTTACCCTGGAGACTTTATGTACCGTACTGTTGACTAAACGAGCTATGCGTAAGCTGATTTCCATTGACACTGTCAAGGATTACAGTTCCATAGCGAAAACAATTACTCGTAGCTGCTGTAGCAAGAAGCTAGCCCGTGTTGAACAGCACTGGGGCTGACTTTGACATTCCACGATGCGACCCTTGGCGGTCAAGCTTCCTGTACGGTACCTTTTGACCGCAAGCGATATGACGGATTGATTCGATTCCATTCGATTCAATCATTCGCATTTTCCACACGCACCCTGCCCTGTTGTGGGACGTCCTCTCTATCACCTCTGCCTTGTTCGTCAAGACAAGAGTGATCCGAAACCGGTGCCGGGTGTCGTTGTTGTTGTCATCACTGCTCTCTCCCAAAATTGCTTAGTTATCGAACAGGCTGTCATCCATACCATCACCTCCCAGTTGCTGATGACCCGTGGGGGAAATGCCCATCAATCGCATGGCAACCGTGGACATGGTGGTGGTTTGTTCCTCGTCATCTTGATTATGTCCCGATTTGGAAAACTTGAAGCTGTTGGATTTCTTAATTTTGAAATTTCTGAATCCTAGGCCCCATCGACCAGCTTTTTTATCTGCGTCTGCATCTTGTGGATCGTCACCATTGTTTCGATATGGACTAGTGGATCTTCCTCGGTTGTTGCCGTCTGCTCCTCGTCTGGTAGCAGTTTCGTCCTGCGCGTTCTGTTCCTCTTCCTCGCCCAGCAAAATGTCGCCAAGACCCATATCGACAGGGCATCCCATATCCGAAGGAAATTCATCAATGGAGTCCCCCCGGCATATTTTGACGTTATCCATGGCGGAGGGATCAAATTGCATGATTCCAACTGGTGCAGCGTCATCCTCACGATAAGTGTCATCATCGTCGTCATCATCGTCATTCTCATTATCCGAAACGTTCTGATTGAGGGGCGCCATGACATTGTCAAAGGACGCTTGAAAGGGTGCACCACACGCCTTTTCGTCTCCTCCCTCTGCAACGTCCGCCGAAAAGGCCTGTGAACCTGCCTCTGCATTGGGCTTTTTGGTTTCTGCCGTCGACGATTGTTTGGCCTTGCTCCCTGACTTGGTGCGTTTGGGAGCCTTTGTAGTAGTAGTAGCCGACTTTGCATTGTTGTCTTTGCTGTCAATGGATGGCTTTTCTTTGTTGGAAGGTGTTCTTCGAACCCGATTTTGCGAGGATTGCTTTTCTCCCATTTTTTTCTGTGAGGATTGTTTTTCTCCCATTTTTTTCTGTGAGGATTGCTTCTCTCCCAATTTTTTCTGTGAGGATTGTTGTTGCTTGGCATCTGCCATGGAGTTTCGCTTCGAACCTTGTCGTTCCAACGTGGCTCCAGTTGCCGAGGGTCGCTTCTTTTTCTCTCCTCCTCCTTCCACACTCAAATCGCTGCTTCCCCTGCGTGGCGCATTCTTGGGAAAGCATGGTTTGCTACCGGCACTGGTAGTACTGACATCGAGGGCGTTTCTCTGTGGATTGCGGGGTATCCGTTTTAACGGGCCTTCTCCTCCATCAAAGGATTTGCTCCGTGGAATGGCGTTGGACTTACGTCGATCTTTGACTTTTGTGTTGCCGTTGCTGCCGGTCGTGACGTCTTTTTTGTGAAAGGATTGCGAACGCGGAATGGCCGACCGATTTTTGGATTTTGAAAGGGGCTGCGAGGAGGAACGATCCTTGTCGCTGAGTGCCGACGGTCTCGGGATATGAAGGGATTGACTAAGGGGATCCTTGCCAGAAACATGGCGTGGTTTGACGCGTTTGGTGGAAGCCCCGTGGTTGCTGGTGGACTCAAGCTGATCCTTTTTGACGGCTGGTACCACCGCATCAACGGCCCCATCTTCACCAACATTTTGAGCCGGCGCTGCAGCAGAGGCATCTTTAGTAGTGGTGGTGCCATTTTTAGCTTCTTTCTTGTGCTCATTTCGAGTCTTTTCTTCTCTGGCATTGTGGGTCGAAGACGCATTTCCAGCCAGGAAACCATCCAGAGTACCTACTTTTTGCTTGTGGGGCCGAGGTTGTGCTTGGACTTCTGCCATGGTCCAAACAAACAACTACTAGTCGAGTCAAGACCAAGAGGGATGGAGGTGCTTGAGAATTTTGGGTGTGTTTTGTTGCTGTTTTCCTTGTTTTGGTTCAGGCACAGACAGCCGCTCTCCGCTGACAGATTCGGTCACTGGTCAGAGGGCTGTTTATCGACCATGACTTCCCACATCTATTGAAAGAATGCCATGGAATGGAATATGACATTGAGACATGTTTTTCACTACAATTTATTTATTGATTGTTTCGGGTAGAATTCTGGAAGGCAAAGTCATTCTACTACTACGGTATCAGTTGTGGATTTCAAACTTGCTTATAAGAAGGTTCTTTATTCCTGGCAACCCTGGAGTTTTCTGTTGTGCTGCACTGCGGTAAGACCCTCAGATTGTTTCCACATCGGCTTCTGGGGATTCCATTTCAGCGTTGGCTGCCACGGCTGGTTTACATTACAGTACTGTAGTTCATGAGACCATTGATGCCTTGCTCATTTTTTGTACCCCTTGAGGCAGTGTGGACAATGCACTGTGCCCATGGGTTTTGATGAGCCAACATTACTTTTGTGTACCTCAATTCTGCCTGTCCTCTTATGTTTCTTCCTAGCACGCTGAAAGCCCTGGGAAAACAAATCACCCAGTTCCAGCTGTCTAGGTTTCGTCATTGGATGTGGATTCTTGGCTGGTGGCTATTTCTGTTTGTTTGGGTTGCCACTCATATGTATGCATATGCATACACGAAATGACCTGGAAGAGATGGCAGAGAAACTATGGTTGCTGCTTGCTGGCAGTGTTACTTTCTTAGCCATCAAAGGCACGAGTGCAATAAAGGTACCTGGTACTATTAATAGCTCTTTCTTACTCGACGTGGTGTGAGCGCTGCGGTTATGTCGGAAGTGCATGTACCGGGTGGATACATACATGTAGATTCTTTGCTTCTTAAGTCCAGGTTTGGAGTGTGGATAAGATACTCATGGCAGCACGCGTGTCCCAGTTTGTACCGGTGGTACTGGTGGCAGTTAGACTGTCGATAGTCGATAGGTACCGTATTACCAGTAGCTCGGCACTCGGCACACAACAGCCTCAACGCCTGAACGTCTATCACTTCCAAGGACCACTCCATGCGGGACTTTCATGCCTACTACTAGCTAGTAGCTACCGTAGCATTTACCCGCTTTTCGGGGCACAGTTCATCTAGCTAGTGCCTGTCACATGGAGCCATTCCATGTGGCAAGACCTACAGACGCAGCAACCCCGAATGTCAGGTTTGCTTCGCTCCCTTGATTGTCCTCATCATCACTGAAAGATCGTGACGGTTTTGCTTATTCCCTCGCAGGTACATGTACTGATCAAGTAACTGGCATGATTTGCTAATACTTGTTTTGAAGCCAATGGTCTGAAGCCGCGATGACTGCTGCTGTCGTTTTACGTTCGTGCTGTGTCAGCCAAGAGACTTGTGCGCACACATACATGGATCTCATGTGTGTGTTTGAATGGCGAATGGTTCTGCAGGGGGCATGTGTGTGACCCAGCTGGCTAGATGTGGTTAGCTACAGTTAGTGAAGACAGTTAGAATAGTTGATTGATAAGGAGGATTCTATTGGTTTTAATGGAATAAGTAATGTATATAGTACAAGAGTCGTAGTAGAGAGTTGTTTGTCCCGATTTTAAAAGGCCGGGCTGAAGGAGAAGGAGAATGCGGAGGAGACTGAAGTGAATCGAGCAAGTCCCAGGTCGAATTCATCGACTTCTGGCATCTCGTTGAGGTCGAAGGACAACATGGATTCGATGGAGCAGCCTCGGGCGACGGCGGCAGCCCGTGGAGCAGAAGGGAAGCGAGCCGGAGGAGGGAGGGTGGGAGCCTTGACGGTGATGAATGGAAGGGGAACAGCTTCAGTGTTGACAAGTTGTTCCTTGCGGGAAGCAATGTCTTTGAGAAGATCTCCAAAGGCGCACAAGACTTTGGTGCTCTTGGGGCTCAATGGAGGAAGAGGAGCAGAAACAGTGGTAGTTGGCTCGACTCGTTGGCGCTTCTTGGGTGCTTCTTCTGTGGTTGGTTCGGCCGCTCTCTTGGCGATTTTTTCTTCCTTCTTGGGTGGCTGTTGTTCCTTCTTTTGTTCCTTAGCCTGACGACGCTTCTTCTTGTTTTCGCAGGAGGATTTGTACTTGTGGGAGAGCTGATCACGGAAGGCTCCTCCGCACTTTTCGCGGGCAATGGCATCTCCCACTTCGCACCAGACACCGTCGACCTCGCGAACAAAGCCTCCGTCGGGGCTTCCTCTTCGGATGGTCTCGACCACATCGGAAACAACCAAAGACTTTTCCAACTTGGAGGAAGCATTGGCGTATTTGTCAAGGTGCGTCTCGATCAACTCACGAAAGTGCAAGTTGTGGTTGTAAGCGGTCTTTCCGCGCTTGCAGATCACATCGAGGGAGGATGGCTTGAAGCCGGGTTGGAGCTTGCGCATTTCACTGTTTCCGGGGCAGCTCTTGCTGACAGTCTCGGCGATCTTGAGGAGAGTGCAGGTAGTCATTTTTGATTTGTTGTTGTGTTGCTGTTGTTGTTGTTGCTGAATTGTGAGAGGAAGAGTCGCTGTCGTCGAGCTGTGGCAAACCAATGAAGGATCCAGAGCAGCCACCTGTGCCGATGTCTGAAGCTCTAACTGCATAGAGTATTGAGCAAAAAGGAGTAAAATGAAATTTACTTTGGTTTATCGAGTTTCACCTTATTCAACGTAGAGATCTGTATGATTTAAAACAAAAACCATTTTGACCTAATGTCTCGCTCTATTAATTAACTAGAAATTCATACTTTTGAAGATTTTAAGATTGCATCCATCCCGAGTTGCTCCCCTGGAACGTACAAGCCGATGATTTAACGATCAGAACGAAGGCCAGAAAGTAGGCCCAAATAATCGTGCTCTGCAGACCTGAAAGATCTTGTCCTTTAAATCTATCTGCGTGGTGTAGAACACTGCTTAGGACTTTTTGGCCTTCTTCTGTTTTGCTCTCTAAATGATTCCTTCATAGCTTCGTAGTTACATTTAGAGGGAGGGAAACCGTGAACACTCAAAGCCGTCTGTGATTCACAGCAGGAAAAACCGTATGACGTTCCGACGCTGCGAAAACAAGCTGAAACGCACTACTGTACTATTAAAAAAATAGAAGCTAGCTAGGATTCGATTCAAAATTTACAAAGATATCCAAAAGCTACATGGCTTGGGTCTCGACGGCACTTGTCTCGACGTCTCGACCAGCCAGAAGATAGGTCAGGGAGAGATGATGATGATTATAGCAAGAAGATACAGGTAGATTCGATTCGTTTGTTTCAGAACACTGCTATCAGCACAGAGCTACATGTGCTGTACCTGGTAGTGACTCTGGACCGGTATCCATCCTCCTATCGGCTCTCATTGCAAGGCTGCTTTTATAGGTCTTGATCCGCCAAAAGACAGTCTGGGAGGGTGCAGCAGAAGGTAACTACTCGAGTAGCTACTGGTAGTGTCTACACAATTAGGCGCCAAGTTTTTGAGTGCATGGAAACCCTGGGAGCGATGGAAGCGGTTGGCGGCTCTACAAACCTGAGCCAAACAGATCAAATGTGCAAACCGTGTAGATATGCGGAAGCATAAGAAGGCGACATAACCGGTTGGAGGACCTCCCTACAGGAACTCCAGGATGTGATAAACATCATGCTTGATAGAGAGAAAGAAGTGGCCGTGGCCTGCTTCATCTAGCTAGCTATTGGTCCGTGCTTCTTGCAACAGGAGGCAGTGCTAGGATATCGTTCCATATCAAACATTCTCTACGCGCAGTACTTCATCCACACAGGCATGTCCACATCCACTATCATCAATGTAACACGACTGCTTAGCGGCTGCCCGTTGCAACACGCCGATAGAGGAACAGGGGTAAACCGCCACAGTTTTGCAAGCTCGTTCGGCTGTATCTTGCAACTGTTTCACCCGTTGAAGTTGTCGCTGTACCTTTTCGAATCCCAAACTCTGAATGGTCCGATCGAGACTGGCATTGGCTGCCGCATAGAGTGCATGATCTAGATTGTGCGTGGCATGAGACAACTGCAAATAGTCTTGAACTTCTCCATAAGAAGAAGACAACAACGAGGATGCATGTGGAATTTTGTGACATTGTTTTCGGAATTTTCCATCATCGTAGCCTCCTTTGGTTTTGGAGGACAATACAATGACATCTTCTACTCGTAAATTCCACAAGAGTGTCAAGACGGCGAGCGACTCTTGCCATCGTTCGGCAAGTGCAATAAAGTCGTATCGCTGCAACATTTCTTGCAGAATCGTGGATAGATTGTGGGAGTTTGTCTGGTACCACTTTTGAAAGTCCGGTTGCAGATTTTCGTCGGCGATATACTGATCGTGTAGATACCGGAATTGTCCACTTTTCTGGGCTTGCAAATACGCCAGCACCGTGTCTTGATTGTTGTCCTGATGCATGGGCACTCCTTTGCGAGCATGTTCAAAAAAGACAAAAGCGGAAACATCTCGTTTGTCCGGTTGTCGTACAATGGTCCACAAGACACTGCGCGTGGCATGTCGATGAGCATGTCCTCGATGATTGGCAAAGGCGTGCGTCCAATTGCGGACGCATGACATGGGTGCCAGCGTAGTCTGATTAATATTATTGTTGTTGGGAGGGTGATGGAGCACTCGTCGTCCCACTTGTTCGGCAATGCGCAAGGTCACTCCTGCACCGGTAGAAGAAGCCGCTTTTGTGTTTTTGATAAAGATGATTCCCACAACGGGTTCTTCATTGTTCGAGATGAGCTGAGGACGCTTGAGAAAGATGTTGGGTTGGTGGGAGGGAGCCAAGCACCATTGAGCCACATCGTGTCGAAGGGAATATGTTCGAGAAATCTGAGTAATGCAGGAAGGGTTGAGGACTGCACTGCTGTTGCTTGTCCAAAGATTGCAAGGCGATTCCTTCGTACTAGTAGTCTGATAACGGTCCACATCCAAGCCACCTAGGAGTGATTCCTTGATAACATCATTATCTTCTCTCTTTATGGTACCCAAAAAGAAGCAGAGCATACAAATACAAGTTGCCCACCATAGACTCTTCTTCCTAGTCAGGCAGGGCCACTTGACCCTCCTCGAACCAGCCATATTTTCACATTCTCATGTTATGCTTCTATTGGGCACCACATGTACAACAATCCATTGGGCTCTAAAAGGTGCCATAATAAAAAAAAGCCATGGTGCGGTTGCCATTGTGGGCTGTAATAGCAATAATAATGTGTTGAATTTGTTGAGTTAAGGTAATAATTCATAGCTTGGCAAGCTAGTCTCTAATAAAACTAGCCGTTAAGCAAACCTCATTCAGCGAAAGATCAGATTCGATTCTCAAGACAACTTTCTTGAAACAGAAGCACCTTCACAAATAAAACACCGACACCATGGCGTTTGCTGTTGCTTCTCTGCGTAGTGTCGCAAGAAGACGGTGGGGTCTTGCTGCCACGCTACAGCAGGTCTCTGGGCCAGGACGACTGACGGCTGCTCCGTTCTCCTCGGCAGTCCTTAGCAACCATTATGACACTGGTTCTCTTCTTCGATCTCCCACTCCAGACGATGTGAATGCCTTTCGAGAAATGCTGGGACAGAGTCCTGGAAGTGTCTTGACCAGTCTCGAAGATGTAGAATCTTACAATACCGATTGGACGGTAAGTAAAACTCACTCCAGCTACTTTGTTCAATACCTTTTCACAGAATTAATTCTACATCCATCATTCAATGATTTTCGTTCTGACGTTCCATCCACATTGCCATCCTCGCTCATTATAGAAACACTACCAGGGAACATCTTCTCTCGTCTTGCGCCCCAAATCCACCAAAGAAGTATCCGACATTCTCAGATACTGCGACGACCATTACTTGGGAGTCGTCCCACAAGCCGGTAATACTGGTTTGGTGGGTGGGAGCATCCCTGTCGCAAGCGCACCCGCACAAGAAGTCATCCTTTCTATTGAACGAATGAATCAAATCACTTCCTGGAATCCCACCACAGGAATTATCACTGGACAGGCCGGGGGGATCCTCCAAGATTGGCAAGACTATGCACAACAAAAGGGTGTCATGATACCCGTCGATCTGGGATCCAAAGGATCTTGTCTCATTGGGGGCACCGTCAGCACCAATGCGGGAGGACAGTACTATGCTAGATACAAGAGTTTGCATGCCAATGTGGTTGGACTCGAGGTGGTTTTGGCCGGTGGAGAAATCTTGAGGCTCAATCTGCAAGAAACAACATCCAACAACAATGACAAAGAATCGAAAAATAATACAGTCCTTTGCAACTTGAAAGACAACACGGGTTATGATTTGAAACACTTGTTTATTGGAGCAGAGGGAAGCTTGGGGATTGTCACTAAGGTTGCCCTGTGGTGTTCTTCGGCCTACCCCACATCTCGGTGTGCCGTATTGTGTGCTTGTACATCCCTCGAACAAGTCCAGGAATGTTTGCCAGTGGCGAGACGTGTATTGGGAGAAACATTAGCGGCATTTGAATTCATGGACCAAGCCGTGACGGAATTGGTGGCCGCCAACTGTAGTGGTTCCATCAGTGGAATGATTCCCCAACAACAGAGGGCAATGACGACAATTCATTTTATCCATATTATAGCTTTTTGATCGAGACGCATGGTACGAACTCGGAACACGATGAAGAAAAGATGCAGCTCTTTCTCGAGGAATCACTAGAGTCTGGATTGGTGCTGGATGGAGTCCTAGCTCAGGACTTGACACAGGTACAGGATCTTTGGACATCAGAGAATCCTGCAATCCCACAGTGGCATCCAAAGGTACACTTACAAGTACGACGTGTCTGCCCATGGCCGAGTTTGAGGCCTTTGCGGATGAAATGAAACAACGACTTGACGAGACAGCTGCTGGTAGTAGTAGCTCCCCGGAGAAACCCATCATTGCTGCCAATTGGGGTCACATTATGGACGGCAATCTTCATTTCAATGTCACCACACCTGGACACTTTGATGTGGATCCAACAGTTTTGAATGCCTTGGAACCCTACATCTTTGAATGCGTCATCCGAAAGGGCGGGTCCATCTCTGCGGAGCATGGACTGGGACAAGCCAAGCATAAATACTTGCCCATGGTTCATGACCCTGTGACCTTGAGATTGATGCACTCCGTCAAGGAGATGCTCGATCCACGGGGAATTATGAACCCCGGGAAGTACTTGCCTCAACCATGACACTCTACCTGTAGACAATAAACAACTATAGCTGCTCTAGGTTGCTTCACCAAAAATACTACATATCGTGGCTGGCTAGCTAGCTCCGACTCCTTTTGGCAGTGCTCTAGTACCGTACCGGTATGGAAGCCACCTGAGTAGCTCCCGGCAAGTCCCAGTAGAGATTTTGCTTTGGTTAGACGACTGCACCTCTGTTAGGTCGAGTGCTAAAGTGCTCGGCTCTGATCGTTAGTCGCAGGCACAAGAAACGATTATGATGCTACTACCTGGTACCGGAATTAGCTACAGGCTACCGTAGAGGCCGCTGCAAGCTGACTAACAGTGGCAAAATTTTGATCGAGTTCATCATTGTTGCAAACACCTACCGGTATGCATAGAACGCTTACGCTGTGGCTGCACATCACACTGGTCGTTGTTCTACTAGTCGGCACTGTTAATAGTGCCCCTTTGCTGTTTGTGTTCGGTTGTCGTTTAATTACTGTCTTCCAGCAGCTGCCTTTTCGATATGAACCGACCGTGCCAGCATATCCAAGCTCAATCCGGAGCGCTTGCTGACCCGAGAGAATTCCTCCTGACTACCCTTCAAAAAGTATGTCTGATCGTCTTCTCGAGTCCCTCCCTCTTCTCCTTCGTTTCCAACTTCATAGTCGATTTGAGCAACGTTTTTCAGTCTGGGAGGGATCCCAAACATTTTGATGGCCTCACAAGTGACAATTCCCGTTCGATAGGGAGGGCCCGTGGCGGCCACATCAAATATCATCTGCATGTTTCCAAACAAAGATTTACATTTAACAATTGGAAGCAACATATTAGAGGTGGAATTTGCAAGAGTTCTGTCAAGCAAAAACATGGTTGTGTGTTCGTTCTCACCTGAATCCTGGGTGCACGCCAAACCGGTGATCGTCCGACAATTTCTAGCTTTCCAGAGTCCAACCGATAGCTTCTCAAGCTACCAGGTTGCAGTCCATCACCCAGCTGTCTCTGAATATGGGTATCACTCTGGACCCACCTCAAGCAATAACGGTAGACAGGATCAGCGCGAATGTACATGTTGTCGAATGTTACCAAGGCCAATCCGCCAACGACTGTAGAAAAAGTTCCACGGAAAGAAATGGGGTGGATGAGAAGATTCCCAAATCATGAAAAAAACTCCACTCAATCCATTTCCACCCATCAAGCTAGCTACCGGAGCAACTAGTACTCTCCAACACTGAAAGACTGAGTCGAGCCACTCACCTGAAGCACAGCCAAATCCAGTGTAGAATCCCCATTTCGCAATGGTTGTGGGTGTCAAGTGTGTGAAGAAGGTTGTGAAGGACAAAAAGATTCGCGAGATTCCGTAGGCTCCGATCGTCCCTCCCGCGACGAGGGCATAGAATTGATTTTGGGGCGTCAAGACTTGTTTGAATGTTCGAGTGATAAAGCTGCCACCCTCTTCCTCTGATTCTTCCTTCTTGTCGGGATTGGGAGCTGCCGCAAAGAATCGAACTTGAATGTCTGGGACGAGAAGAGGACTGCTCTCATGGCGGTTGTGGCGGCTGCTGCTTGGAATAATCCGAGTATCCAACGCCGAAAAAGCTCCACGTGAAACAGTCGCAGTGTGATAATGTCGACTCCCCGCCAAAACCCATCGTGCCGTCTTCGCCGCCAAGGGTCTCCTGCAGGTAGTGGTCGCTGACATAATCATCATCATCGTCATATATAGTTGTGTCGTTGGAGAGCAGTGACAGTTTGGAGTTTCGAAGCAAGCAAGAAGCACAACGGGGATCTTTGATGCGTATCTTTCTTCGAACGAGTTTTGGGGACCTCGGAGCTCAGCGTGGATCTACCTCACTCCACGCCGCGCTCCACGGGCACGGAAGCTCGCGCGAACTTTCCGTCTCTTGGAGACACCCGCTGCTACATGTACATGTACATGTACATGTACATGTACATGTACATGTAATGAAAGGAGCTACCGCCACTGCTACCAGTAGCTGAGCTAGAATGTTCTAGCAAGTAAGTGTTCCCACCCGGTTGTTTGCAATATAGGCTTTGGAATCTTTCGAGACCTGCGTGGCTAGCTAGTGTCTATTACAACAAACACAAGAGAGGAGACAGCAAGGGAGGAGACAGCAAACTTGAACTACTGATTGATTATAATTCTACCACCTGACCGGCAGGAGCATCCGTATCTTCCGCAGGAGGTGACATTTTAGTTTTTCATTACACATTCACTGCCTACAGAATCTCTAAAGCACAAGCGGAGTCTGTGATTCCAAAACACTGTTGACAACATCAAGGAGAAAAGGTGTCACATTTTGGGCCAACTCATTCAACAACGTATCTGCAATCTGGCCGTCCACATCAAACTGGGAAACAGTTCCGTTCGATTCAAAGTTAGTATCAATGGGCCCGAGTTCCAATAAGGCCTCTCTAACTCCAATGGACGTCAATCGGCTGGACTGCGAGAACTGAACCATATTGCCGGTATCACCAGCCATGGCAATGGTTGCCCCAATGGACGGGCTACTGATGGATGCAACTGCCTGCACATTTTGCTCCACTGGAAGCCCACAAAGTGTGGACTTTATAGACACAGTGGTCTCTGCCTTGATATTGGCAAAGTTTACATCAAACTGCCAGTCTCCGGCCCACGTTGCTCCATTCAATCCAAAGAAGGAAACATCAATGTCCTGAGTTCCTTCTACTAGCTCAATGCGATCGATTGCCATGTCACTAAAGCCAGAGAGTGACCATGCGCCATAAGAAATGGATGCCGTGCTGTCGGGGCAGGGTGAATCAGACGGCAAGTCTCCAAAGTCGAAAGTCCGGGCACTGCCCAAAAAAGCCGGATCGTGTGCGTTCAAAGTCCGCTGCATCCTGCCCACGAGAAAGGGGGTGAACTCTTGAATGAGAGTGTTCATGACGGTGGTTAGAAGCTGAAGCTCTCGTCCATTTCCTCGTAGGTTCTTGGAGGCATCTATCCCGACAGAAAAAGCCACAAGGACTAGCAAAGGAACGAAGACTGCAGCGAGGGTTGGTTTCGTCATGTTGAGATTGTGTGAGCATATCATTGCTTGTACGGTACCACATCGAGGACCCTTGTGCGAGCTTCCTTTCCTCTGCGCTAAATGCACCTAGCATGAAAGCGATGTGTCCTGCGTGAATCGGACCGTTACAGGACGGACATTTGCAGGGGTATCTGAGTCGGCTGCGGCTATCGTCCGTATGCAACTATTAATAGAGCTCCTATTCTTTCCACAACCAGGATCGAGTTCATGTGCGCTGTGAGGAGGAACGCTTGGCGTCGGGTGTCCTCCTAGCTAGCTAGTACCAGGTACCTTGCCTAAACGGTTGCTTTGCTTCTCCCTCTCATCATCGTTGCGAGTTCCGATTGTTCTGTCACAGCAAGAGCACGACCACCCGTGGGAACACCATTTTCCCAGAAATTTCTAGAAAAAGTTGAAATATCTTTCTACTTTTCTCGCAAAGCAATGACGTGGCCAGAGTTGATGCCAAGGGCATCTGCCATCATGATCGCTTTCTAGCTACCGGTAGCTTTTCTCCCAATGATGTGAAAGTCTCTGCGAACGAGAAACAATCTTGTTGTTCTTTCCCAGTTCAAGGAAAGAAAGCGGTAGAAGATCTGTCGTCCTCACAACTCGAAAATCCTTGGAATCAACATCATGAAGCAATCTCTGACTTTGACTCTCCTCTTGCATTGGGGTTCCCAACATGTTCTTGGATTTGCCCCTCCCGTCTTTTTGGCCAGTGGCTCTCGCTCCCACTCGTTGAAACCGCTTCAGGAAGCGGTCAATGGCAAGGCCAACGGCGAAACACCCAAAGAAGACAAGAAGCGCGACCGTTCCAAGCTTATCGACTCGGAAGACTGGCTGGATGCTGCCATCCAATCCACCTTGGATAAGGGAGGATTTGACGACTCCTCATTTTTGGTTGGTATCTTGGGAGATTTGCACATTGATCCACGCAAAATGGACGAATATGAAGAGGGACATGATCATTGGGTAAGCAGACCTTCTTATTGGATTTGTTGAGAAGGCTACCAAAGGTTTAATTTATGCTTTTTGTTGTGACTTTTGCAGGTCCCAATTTTTGAAAAAGCCAAGGAAGCTCACGGGAATGTGGCTATGGTGTCGTTGGGCGACCTGGGAGAGAGCAAGAACTGCGATCACAATCCTAGCAATCCCTCTGAATTGTTTGCCGGCACTACCCTTTGCCATGAAATGGCAGCCGAGTTCCTTAGATCCTTTGATGTACCCTATGAAGTCATTGGAGGTGAGTCACTCGCTTCCTCGAAAGGGTCCGGATTTCTGAGTTGTATTTCTTTGATATCTTTTCTAATTTCCGTCTTTGACAACATTTTTAAAAGGTAACCATGATTTGGAAGGAATTGATGAATTTCGAACTGATCGTCAAAATCTTGAGGTCTTTATGAAAGCCCATGGTAAACCAACCGCTCAGTTCTGCCGAGAAATCGCAGATAAAACCCTCTTGGTTGGACTGGGGTCGACTATCTTTCGAGAAGCACCATTCACTTCTCACGAAGTTATCATTGACCAAGCCCAAATTGATTGGTTCGAAAAATTGCTTCAGGACAAGCCAGCCGATGAAGGTTGGAAGATCTTTGTCTTTACACATGCCCCACCCAACGGATCGGGCCTTCGTGTCTTGCAAGAGAATCATGTTGTCAATGGATGCTGCTGGCTCAATCATTCCAATGAAAGGCAATGCAAAAAGTTCATTGAACTCGTCAGAGAACACCGTTGCGTCAAGGCATGGTTCTCTGGCCACTTTCATTTGGGACAAGATTATCAGGTGAGTTTAGAACTGCCGTCGGCTCCAAATGCTTCCAAACGACTTTTCTAGCGTATCAGCATCTTACCGTGGTTTTCGATAGGATTCTATTACGTTCCCCACAATCCCACGCGAAGAAGGACCTTATCCTAACAGAGGCTCTTGTGTCTTTGCCCAAACCTCGGTCATGCGTGGAGGCACCTCTCGTGATGGTCGACAACAGTCTCGATTGCTCAGGGGTAACAAAGATGGATTCGAGATTTGCACCGTGGATCATGGAAAGGGAGGACAGATCCGTCTTGATGCAACCATCACGTACCGGGATGACAGCCATGAAGTGGGTATCTACATGCACGAGGACGAAGCTTACGAACACGACAATTATTTCAAGGTTTACCAGCCAACAGAGGGTGACCGGGAATATTACTGTGGAGCTGAAACGGATGAAGAATGTTCCATTACCGAGGACGAACCCGTCACTATGGACACTAAGGTTTGGTGGAGGTTGAGCAGTGGGCGAGTCCTGGGTGTCATGGATGGAATGCTTCTGGAGTATGATAGTTCGACACTTGCTCCATTGGGACTGGTCTTGTCTGCTGAAGAGCTCCTTGGGCGTGCAATTGCTGTTGTCGATTCCGGCATCGATGATTGTATCGTTGCAGACGACGACGACGCAATGGAAACACTAGAATGCGATGACTACTACCAAGAGCGAGAACAAGCTGTCATTGTCCACGACTTGGAGAAGGGAAGCATCACGGTGGTGCAGCCCAACGAAGACGGATCGTACTGGAGAAAGATCGTGAGAAACAAGATTGCCCGCATGAAGGAGGTTAGAAGGGTCAAGGCTGCTATCCAATACGGAGTGGAGCGACTGTGGCTCGATGAAACTGAAGCCAAGAAGAGTGTGCAATCGACTTGGGGCCCTTACACTACCACCTCAGGGAATGCCTTGTAATAACCTGGATATACATGTAACGCTTAGTCAGCAGCAAGCAGAAGATTCGAAGACTTAGCTATCTTTAGAGATCTAGTACCAATCAACAACATCAACTAGCTAGATTCGATTCAAGAATTTGACATTTTTGTTGGATAGTAATTTGGATCCATTCTTCATGAGTTCAGTGGCAGACCATCATGGTACCCATGGTTTGGCAGTGATGGTTCCGCAGCTGCCTGCTACTCGTACACTGGTCCTGGTTGCAGAACTGCCTTTGTATTGGATTGTGTACCGGTATATTCAAACAGCTCTTCTGGCTGTTTACGTTGTTCAAGATCCGATGGGATGGTCGGGTGTTTCAGAATTGACGTCCGGACCGAGCTTTTTCAACGCTGTGCATAATATTTTAATCTTGCTTGCCGTCGTCAGCTCTGCGCACATGTTAATAAGATTATACCGGTATGTAAAGCGTTTCATGGCCTGCAGCTGGAAACGCCAAGAGATTGATGGATGTTTTCTGCAGCTCTTAACAGCATCGATTGTCGCTGGTGGCCTGGGAAGTCTGCTAGCAGATCAGATCAGCCATTCAGGCAGGTCATTCTATATCAAAACTTGCGTGCTGGTGGGTTCCAGGCTAGTTTGCCACATCCAGTCAGTCAGCCACTTTCCCCAGTCTGTTAACGCACAACTGCAGCAAAGCCATCAATAGCCAGTAGGATTGGCCCTGAAGAAGCCAGGTTTAGTATAGTCGCACTCTGGCAAAGCAACGCCAGCACAGCGTGGAAAAATCCCCATTCTTGCTTGGTTCGGCTGAAACGCTCTGCACAAGGAGGGATGGTGGTTGATCCAGCTGACCGGAGACAGGAACAGCAAGGCAGTAAACGTTGACATGGGATAAGACTGTCAACAAGGCTGGCTAAGATTAGCTAGAAGTTCGAGTATTGCCCTCCCATAAACTCCTGGTTTCGGACCAACTGAAACCAACTAACTGATCACAAAAGTACAACAGTACCAACCTCAAAATGCAAACTTCTACCACTCTTTTACTAGCACTGGCTGCAATCCAACCATTCTGTGCATCATCTGTCACCGCAGGAAGTTCTCAAGACCTAACCTTTGATGATATCATCGGTGACTTTAGCCGTTCTATCAGCACCAGAATATCAAACGTCTTGCGGCACTCGGCGGACCCAGTCAGTTTGCAAGATGTGGAGTTTATCCAGCAAATACCGTCAGTTGCATTTGATGAGAACTGCACCGACGCGGGCACAGTCATATACAGGTTTGGATCATTGACTGGCCTCGGAACCTTTGAACTAAGCAATATGATTATAGTTTCAGACGACAGTGTCATTTCGAGCGTTCCGTTCAGTGGTTTCGACTGGGAAGGTACATTCCTCGCCGATGGCGTCCTACCCAACGGATTGGAAGTGTTCATCGAGGTGGAGCTTTCTGGGGATGCCTGTGGTGAAGGCGTGCATCAGACGATTTCTGGTTTCCTCGTAAGCTTTAGCCCCACAAGGCTCAGCATAGACTTGCAAGCCAGTGGCAACTCGAAAGAGGTTGCATTCTCCGACGAAATCTCCAACCGAGTCCGAGAAGTCCAGGTGAACGAGCAGAACTATCTGTGGACTCACTGACATCTAACGTTGTCTTTGCCAACGGCGTTGACTTGGACGTGAATGCATTTCTGCCGGATCTGTTGGACCGTGCCATTGCCGATGAACTTGGTCCTACCATTCTGGGGATTTTGAATACTGCAATAGTCGGACCCTTCACCTTTTAATCAATGCTTAGCTATACTATGATGTACTGCATGTGCGAACCGCCACGATGCGTCTTGGAGCAACTCGATTGCTGACGATCGTATCCACAGACCAAAGCCTGGTGCATTTCCCACCGAGCACCGGTACCAGGTAACAGTAGATCAAGTTTCCTGCAAATCAGACGATGCCAATACCAGGCAGAGCATTCGCGCTTCAGACCCACGTCAGGCTGGAGATGGCACTGGCGCTGGCTCCACAGAAGGCAAAGAAAGCGGTTCCCAAGAAGACCCAAGTGTCAAGATCATGTCAAGATCTTGGCATGGTCATAGAATCGTCTTACTAGCATGAAGCCAACCTTGCAGCTTGACAGAACCGAAACAATTTGGCTTGGATGCGCAATATTACAGACCAAGCAAGTATCACTTCCAGCTAGTCTGTCTAGAATCGACTCGACTCGGACGTCTAGCATTGCGGTCTGGATTTTAGACCAATGCTGCGTTGGGGGGAGACTCCAGGAGACCAAATCCAGCTCTTCATGGCTTATGCATTGGTACCGGTACGGTAGCACAAAACTCACCAACAACCAGTCACAGCCATAAAATCGGAGCCTCTCCCACTAGACGTTCGATACTATAAGGGAGGCTGCTCTTCGTCGGGCACCGCTGCTACGGTACCGTACTACCGGTAGCAGCGAGTGCGCTGACGGCAACATCCATGCATGTGGTGTTGGCGAGTGGAGGTTATGGACAACGTGTACTGAAATTTCATACAAGACCAAAAGACAAGATATCCTCTAAGTAAACTGACCTTCAGTACGAACCTCCACAGTGATTCAAATATTGACTCCTAACTCTCGAAAGTCCAAGTGTGACCGTTGGAGTCTTGTGGAATACCCAAAGACTTAATCGAAGAGGTGCGTCGTACCTCTGTGATCGAACGACCTCACATTTTGGTCTCCGAGTTCGCGAACGGCATCAAGTCATTGGAATACCACTAAAGCAAAGCTGCTACATCACCATGTTGTTCACTGCTAGTCATGAATTCAAACAGTGGCTAGATGTTAATGATCGCTACCCTTACAATGAGATGAGGAAAACCAGGCAGACTTATGTATGCAAGCATGTTTTGCTAGAGGATCAAACAGACAGGGAAGATCCCAAAACTCAGTACTATCTTGTAAAGACCTGCTACCTGTCCAGTGGGATCCTTGAGCAACTCATCATGGAAGGGAATGCGCTGCCCATGACTCCTGATCAGACTTGGCTCTTGGAGGAGATGTTTGTGTGGGGTGTCAGGCACAGCAATGATTGGTACAGTGATGTTCTTGCTGAGCTGGCATGGGAAGTGTATGAACATGAACCTGTCACAAGGAAAGAGATGTGCAGAGAGGCAATCAAACCACTTATGAGAGGAGTTCTCTATACTCAGTTTGGTGTGTGGCACAGTGAGGCAAAGGAGTTTTTACTTACAGAGTGGAGTCATTGGTTTGACACAGAGTGCTGGAGCCAGCACAAACACAACCTAAGTGGTATGGCAATCAGTAGTGAGCAGTACATTTCCCACAGAGCTGCATTCACTGCCCATCATGGTGGCTACTCTTACCCAATGCACCAAAACTGATTCATGTCTGTTGAGAGAAAGATAATGGAAGCAACAGCTGTAAGATTGTTGTTGTTTGTAATCCAGTTGGTGTCATGGTAACAATAGTCAAAACTTACTGTACTTGTTTGCAAAACTGTAGAAACTGTCTTTGTGATCTTTGCTGCAAGTAGGACCAAAGCCATCATTGGTCCATGGAACTGCTTCCTCTCCATGCATCTGCCACAGTAGTCTCTCTTGCAATCTTTGGCCACTCCCTCCACAGCTATCACATGGTCGCTCTTCTTGAAACCACAAGTGTTGCAATACTTCCTGCTCCGAAAATGAGTCTTCTCGGTCTTGCTGGTGCTGAACACAGTGGAGCGGATTAATGCAGCATGCAGGGGTAAATTTCCTTGGCAGCAGCAACGAAAGACAACATACTCAGCATTTAGTGTTATTCCAAAGGTGTAGTGCTTTGTGTGGTAGGATTGGTGTTGTATTCTTGGCTCTGCCTCATCTGATAGTCCTTGTCGATTTCGCCTCAGTTGGCCATCTAACTGTGCCCGATCTTGGTCATCTCGAGGAAGAACACCCTCAAGCTTGCTTGCTCTGAACTTAATATGGTTGTAGGAGGAGACGCTCTTGTATCGATTTCAACTGCCGACTGGTCACTTGAGTGTCCACAACTGAATCGCCTGACACTCTGCATTCCAGTCTCTTTCGAATGCCTTTAATTGTTGGGCCTGTTGTGGCATGTCGATTGATCGGAGACACTCACAAAAAGGTCGCTCTCTCTGTCATATCAGTAGCGGCAGTGCTGCATCAGTGACCGAATGGTATCCACTCGCAATGTGGTGAGACGCCTGAACGCTTCAAGGTATTTTCAGCGGCCACTATCTACTGGTAGCAGCTTGTCGAGTTCCTGTTGAATGAGTCCCTTGTTCAATCGATCATTGGCAAGAGCAGCATCGCTTGTCTGGTCGGCAGCAGTCCTTTGGCGAGTTTGTCGGTTCTGCGAGTCTTTAAGTGAATTCAAATATTCTTCTTCTGTAGCGAACACCTCTATATCAAGGTCCTCGCCCAATTCACCACCAAGAACCCGTTGGATCTCTTCTTCTGATTGTGGGATCACTTCCTCGTCATTTGCAATCGCTTCTTCTTCCCCATCATTGTTGGAGGTTGTATTACAGACACCTCAATACAAATTAGTCGTTTATCCCAATCTAGTTATAGGGGATATCTATATCTATTCTCTAGTTACATACATGGGGAGTTTAACTGATCTATATGGTCACCCCCTTCACTATATCCTTTGAAGTTGAATCAATCCCAGAAAACATGGAGAAAGATCACTTCTTGGAAATAGCTTAACAGTAAAACCCTTTTACCTCACTTTTGCTTTTCAGCTTAATCCAAAACCAAATTACTCCCCAATAAGCTGCAGTATTACTAGCTAACACTGAAAAGCAAAAGTCTCATCTCGAGTTCGACAGTCAACACCTCGAGATTGATATCATCAAGTTGACCTAAAGTATACAATACCAAGAGGTAGCAAGTGAGTAACACCTGCAACAGAGGAGAGGTGCGCAAATACTGCACACAGACACACTATAAAGGATACCAAACACCTCTAACAGGAAAAAGGTGCGCGGGAAGAAAATCCCATCTTCAGTCACAGGTACCATACGTGATATCGTCTAACAGTTTCCGGCCGGAACTACGGACATCCAAGGGTACCAGTGAAACAAGCACGGTGAACTGAACAGGTTACGTGCTGGAAGTAAGGAAATCCGGCTCTTATTCATCGAGTTGAAGCCGATTACGTCATCGCGCGAGATTTCGTGATTTTCATACGTCTCATCATAACGAGCAGAACTCATCGCCACAGAGGTACTTCCGTGGGAGTTCCTCTAGCCTCACTATCAAGCCATCGAATCAGTGCTGATAGAGTTGAGGTGCAACGGAAAATTCCAACGCACATCAACAAGGCAATTTGGCTGGACGAACACACAGCATCGACAGGTCCGACGATAGGACTGTCATACAAGAACCTGCGCTTTGAACACAAGAACAGTGACCGCTACTACTAGCCGGTTGCTGCTGCTACTGTCGGCAAGCAACAGCATCAGCAGCTGAGGCTACTGCTACAGCTACACGAACGACGCTACGGCGACAACAAGAACAACGGTGGCTACCACTAGCCTTCCGCTACGGCGACAAGAAGAACAAGAAAAGCCGACCGCTATCACTAGCCAGTCGGTGCTACCGCTGCAACAACAAGAAGATCGACAGCAGCGCCATTGTCTCTGTCAATTGGCAACAGTTGTCGGCAGAAGAAGACTTTGCTTTTTGTGAGGACATCGCTGACTACCAGCAGTTCCATGGAACGGCAAAGAACAAACAAAGCTGTTCACCGAACGGCAGCCACTGAACGGAAAAAGGTATCTTTCGTGATATCTTTCCAGGAGTGTACAGTCGTACGGTGCCAAGCTCCGTACCTCGGCAACAAGAGGATTCCACGGCGAATCCAAGCATGCTACCGACCAGTATGGGAGTTAGCCTCCAATGCAGCTGCAGGTACCAGGAAGTCGTGCAGCTGGCTAGCTAGCTAGCTAGCTATAGCCAACCGGCGCAGCACGTCCTGCCAGATAGCCACCGGTATCCATTACCGGAGCAGTGACAGCAAGCTGCAGGAAACACAGGAGTGCTTCCACCGGCATCAAATTTCTTTGGAGTGTGTATTGAGTTTTACACTCAGCACCTCCTACCCCTTTCATGGAGTGTGTATTGTGACACTAATCCACAGCACTTCCTCCACTGATTACAGGCAAACCTGAGGCAACACCAGCCTCTAGGTAGGCAACAACAGATACCATTACAAGACCATGTCCTTGCTATTTGATCACAGCACGTGCACAGGAGTGTGAGGGTACCCAAATCCAAAACCTACAATCCTACAAACAAAATCATCATAACATCCGCCTTTATAGGCAATGCCGAAACCATCAACGGCACCAATGGCCACAACTACACGGCCCACAACCATCAATGGCTAGTACAACAACAGCCAACATCAATGGCTACAACAGCCAACAACGGTATCTACCGCTACCAAACCGATTACAACGAAATCGACCCAACCAAATTCAAATTGCATCTACAATAACGGCAACTGCAACAACAGCAGAACGACAGTGAACGTTGAACCGAGTAGCTAGCTACAAGCAAGCCACTCAAGAGTTCACAAGACAAGGAACCAAGCCACAGGATGGCTGGAGCAGACAGAGTTTGACCCACAAGCGGGAACCTGATCAAAAGAAACAACAAGAGGGTGCACACCTCAGCTCCACTGCAACTACTGTACAGAGATTGCAACCCACCTTAGTCTCACACCAAAACAGAAGTACGTGAGTACATCAAATCAAGCCTACAACAGATACAACTATGGACGACTACAAGTTCTGCCACAGCC